CTCCCTCTCCCTCTCCCTCCCACACACACACACACACACACACACACACACGCGGCCAGTTTCAGGCATTCCCAAAAGGCCAGGCCTCACCCGCAGAGTGGGCACCAGGCGAGTGGGCAGTGCTGGGAGAATTCAGTTCCATCTCCTCACCCCAGTCGGACACAGGCTGGTGGTCCCCAGCGGTCGACAAGGGGCTGGGAGGTTCAGCGGGATCTGGAGACAATGACTCCTGGGGCCTGGCAGGCGCAGGGTCTGCCTGCTCACAGGTGGTCTTCCCAGCAGGCTCAGCCTCTCCCGGCTGATGATCAGGAACAGCTGGGGCTTCCTGATCCTTAGGACCCTCCTCCTCCTCCTCTTCCTCCTCAAACTCCTCCTCCTCCTCCTCCTCCTCGGTGACATCTTCACTCACGTCCTCCCACTCTTCATCCTCATCATCCTCCTCTTCTCCCTCATCCTCCTCACCATCCTCCTCAGGAGGCCGGTGGGCTGGGGCAGGGCTCTCCGGAGGCTCCTGGGAACACAGGCAGATCAGAGAAAGGCTTGGGGCCCGAACCCCTCACTACCACCACTATTCACACCCTTGTACCTGCGTGGGTGCCTCCTCCAGGGATGTGGATTGAGAGGACTCAGGGGCTGAGGACACAGCTTCCCCTTTCGTCTCCCAACGATTATCATGGTCACTGGAGTGGACAGAGCACAGGGGTAAAGGCCTCTGAGAAAGCCTGGGTGAGGGATGGACTTCTCAGAGAGCATCTGTCTTGTTGCACTGAAGGCCAAGGGGACAGCAGACGCAACAGAGCCAAGCGAGTCAGTGTACCCTCCAACCCAAGCCAGAGAGGACTCCACACACCCAAACACAATGAGAAAGGGGGGAACATCCCAAGGGAGGGACACCCCACCTATAGGCACGTGGGGCCACCTTGGCCTGGGGTCGGCTGTTCTTTCTCCTCCTGCGGCTCTTGACTTCTGCTTTGTGCTGAGAAAGGAACTCTCCAAAAGTGGGAGGCTTAGGGGGTCTTGCCCAAGCTTGGTCATCTACAACAGAAACCCAGATCCGAGGACTTAGAGGTTGGGGACACAGCGCATGCCACACTCAAACCCCACTGCTTAACCCTCTCTCCAAGATACTACTCACCATAGCAGTGGGACGACGACGGTTCATGGGTAGGAGGAGCTGGCCCATCCTTGAACCTAGGAAAAGAGCAAAGCAAGCAATAGCTGAGGGAACTAAGGAGAGGCAAGAGAAGGTGGGGAGATGGGGACACATCAAACCAAAGAATCACCAAAGGGGCCACTGGTTAGAATGAGGTCAGATGGCGTAAGGGATGAGAAGCACACCTAGCTTTCCAGTGGCAAAACCAGACAAAGATACAAACGTGGCCTCTGAACTAAAACCGTGGGGACTGGAGAGATGGCTCACTTTCCCACGGACCTCGGCACCTTGTACATCCAGCAGCCCAAGACAGCTAAGTCCCTTGGGGTTGCTGCCCTTGGCCTGCACCCCAGAATGAGCAATCACACGTGTGCAAAACAGCAAAGACACCTGTGGGCCAGGAACAGTACCAGGTATCTAGCACTGCAGAGATGGAGGCAAAGGTTCAGGCTGTCCTTGACTCCGTAGCCAATTCAAGGTCAACCTTGGCTACATATGTTAAAAAAAAAAAAAAAAAATTAGCTGGGGTGGTGGCACACATCTTTAATCATCATATGACATCAGGAGCCAGAGGCAGGCGGATCTCTGTGAGTTCAAGGCCAGCCTGGTCTCCCGAGCGAGTGCCAGGACAGCCAGAGCTACACAGAGAAGCCCTGCCCTGAAAAACCAAAAAGCAAAAAAACAGCAACAAAATAAAAGAAACAAAAAGTAAACAAGAAAGAATAAACATGGAAACTCTGTCACTACCAACAACTCCAATCTACAGGCAAGCAGAAGGTTCTGAGTGAGTCCAAGAGAGCCAGCCACTCTGGATCGGCAGCTGAAGGTTGTCCCTGTACCTTACCCTTTGCTGGCTGTGCAGGGAGACACTGAGCCTGAGTGGACAAGAGTTCTGAGCTAGACTAGGTCAACACAGCCCAGCAGGCCCATGAGCAAGGGACAAAGAAAGCTTTTCATATACAAGCTGGCACTCTGTGAGGCCAAGGCCATTGGACCTGCAGACCCAGGTCCACACGACAGAACTGACTCCCAAGAGTTGTCTTCTACAGCTTCTCTCAATAAAAAAGATTATAAGGAGCTATAGAGATGGCTCAGAGGACCCGGGTTCAATTCCCAGCACCTACATGACTGCTCACAACTGTCTGTAACTGTAGGACCCAATAGGCAGGAAGATTGAAAGGTCAAAGCCAAACTAGATAACACAGTGTCTCAAAAACACAAAAAAAGCCCAGGCGTTGGTGGTGCATGCCTTTAATCCCAGCACTCAGGAGGCAGAGGCAGGCAGATCTCTGTGAGTTTGAGGCCAGCCTGGTCTCCAGAGTGAGTGCCAGGATAGACTCCAAAGCTACACAGAGAAACCCCGTCTCGGGGGGAAAAAAAAAGGAAGAGATAGCCATTAGCTCTGGATACTCTTCCAGAGGATCCAGGTTCATTTCCCAGTGCCGACATGGTAGCTCATGAGCCTCTGTAACTCCAGTTTCAGAGAATCTGACATCCATGGGCACCAGACACACACATTTTACACAAACATACATGCAGACAAAACACTCAATACACATGCATTTTTAAAAAAATTTTAAAGCTGGAGCTGTAGCGATGGCACAGTGGTAGAGCACCTGTCTGGAATCCCCCCAGTGAGGGGCTGAGGGTCTAGCTCAGCTTTGCGCACTGGTCAGCACACCAAAGGCCAGAGGTTCAATCCCCAGGACCAAAGGGAGAAAAAGGAAGACAGGCTTCCATATACAGCAAAGTCACGGCATGCTGTGGACATCACCAATACCCACAGTGATGAGAGTGGTTTGAGCCAAGACCCAGCAGGAGGATTGACTCACATGCCATCCGTCTTCTCGGCATCCCATTCCCGCCGCCACTGCCCAGTGGGCTTGCGGTGTCGCTGGAGGCGCTCTTGGTCGATCTTCTCCCTCTCCTGCTTCCAGCGCAGGTACTCTGACCGCTCTCGGCCCGTCATGGACATTGTCATGTCTCCCCCAATGCCCAGGCCAGCCCTGCGACCCTGCAGGCACCACAGGTGGTCAAACCCCAGCTCCTCTCCACACCCCTCCCCCATACATAAACAGGGCCACTGCTCAGTCAGGGCATACAGGACAGAGTGGCTGAGGCTGCCGCCTCAGAAAGATCTATCTGGTATCTGTTTATGTTTGGCTTCAGACAGGGTCTCATAGCCCAGAGTGGCTGCCTCAAGCTCACTATAGAGCTAAGGATGCCCTTAAACCCTTGTGCTGGCTCGTATTATGTCAACTTGACACAAAGTAGAGTTGTTTGGGAAGAGGGACCCTCAGGTGAGAAAATGCCCACACCAGACTGGCCGGCCTCCACCTCCCAAGTGCTGGGTCTCATCTTTCTTTCTAGAATTAAACATTCCAGTTTTATTCCCCATCTCTGCATGTGTGTGTGTGTGGAGCCTGCACGGGTGTGTACATGTACACGTGGAGGCCAGAGGAGTGTCTTGTTCTGTCACCCGCCCCAGCTTATTAACCCTTGAAGCAGGGTCTCTCTGACCGCAGAGAATTTGACCTAGGCCAGTAGCCAGCAAGGTCCGTTGATCTTCCTGCCTCCATCCCTAGGCATGCCTGGAGTCGGCTCAGTCTTTTTTCACGGGAGTGCTGGGGATTCAAACCCAGGTCCTAATGCTTATTCAACAAGCACGCTTACCCACTCACCCTTCTCCCCGTCTTTCCTTTTTTTATATACAATCTCATTATCTTCCTGTATGTGCCACAGTATGGAAAAGCATTCCGACTCTGTGTTTTCTGAGGCAGGGTTTCTCTGTGTAGCCCTGGCTGTCCTGGAACTCACTCGGTAAACCAGGCTGGCCTCGAACTCAGATCTGCCTGCCTCTGCCTCCCGAGTGCTGGGATTAAAAGTGTGCACCGCCAGCGCCCGGCATCACGCAGGCACTCTTAGTCACTGAAGCAGCTCTCCAGCCCTCAGCTCATCTTTCTTAAGAAACACCCCTGACCCTTCCTTTGGGGTGATGACATTTTATAATGCCCAGTCTTTCATTAAACTTTTGCCCATTCAGTTCCATTGGATTACAGCGCAACTCTGTTTCAGTTTATTCCCCTGGCCTATAATCCCAGCACTTGGGAGGCTGAAGCAGGAGGGTCAAGAGTTCAAGACTGCCTTGGCAACTTAATAAAGATAAAAGGACTGAGGGTGTAGCTCACTGGTAGATAGTTTACATAGAAAGTGTAAGACCCTGCACCGATTCCAGCATGGCAAAAAAAAAAAAAAAAAAAAAAAAAAAAAAAACACCAACATGCAAACACTAGCCGCAGGGCACAGCGGTGCACAGCTTTAAGTCCAGCAGGTGCATCTCAAGCTGGAATTCCACGTAAACTGGGCTGGCATGGAGTTCCAGGTCCCCAGGGCTAGACAGTGAGACACCATCTCAAAAAGGAAATAGAAAACACTGGCCAAGCATGGTAACCCAAACTACGCAGCAAGAGCCAAACCAGCCTGAGTCCCTATCTCAAAAGCCCCCAAATCAAGCAGCACCCAGCCAGCCCAAGGCACAACGCTTGGGAGGCTGCAGCACCCACCTGTCTCTCGTGTTCCAAGCCAGAGCGCACCCGCTCGAAGTCAGAACCTCCCCAGTTGCGCCCATGCCGGCGGCTGCCCTCCCGGCGATCCCTCTCAGGCTCCTCCAGGGGTCCACCCCGACGCCGGGGATCATCCAGGAAGTTGCGTACTGGGTTGGGCTCCAGCACCCCTTCCTGCAGCAGAAGAGCTGGCAGGTGGGCAGGCTGGGAGGCACGGGGGTGCTCTGCCACTCTGCCCACCCGCAGGCTGCCCGGTGCTGACCCGCTGGTTGCGCTCGTACTCGGCAATCTTCTCCATCTCCTCATTCATTTTCTCAATGTTCTGCCTGCGCCGCTCCTCCCACTCCTGGGGACACAAGATGGCATAAGACTGTCAGAAAGAACCACACACTTAGCTGTGTGGAAAAGACAGGGCAGCCCAAATTCTCCAAGGATAGGCAGGTGACAGGGGGTGCCTGGCCTGGAATTGGTTTGGATGCAGGGTACCCTGACATACCTCAGCCACTAGAGAAACGGTACATGGAGGTAGGAGATAGTAACTTGGCAAGCAACTAGTGACCACCACAATCTTTACCCCTCCATCTGCAACACTAACAAGAGTTTACAAACAACAGCCAATACGGGTTGGTGGCGCACGCCTTTAATCTCAGCACTCGGGAGGCAGAGGCAGGCGGATCTCTGTGAGTTCGAGGCCAGCCTGGTCTCCAGAGCGAGGGCCAGGACAGGCTCCAAAGCCACACAGAGAAACCCTGTCTCGAAAAACCAAAAATCAGCCAACT